TATCTACCACGACAGTCATTGTATAATTTTTCTGCATTTTTTAAAAATATTATTTCATTTTAAGTTTCAAGATTTTTTTTGAAAGATTTTCCAAAAGATAATTATGCCAAAATTTTTTTAAATAACTTTGTAAAAAGTTTATAATTTATGCTATAATTATAAATTAGATAAATTTTATGATACTCAAAGAAAATTTTATAGCGTCAAAATGGCGATTAACTCTAAATTGCGAGAAAAGGTAAGCTAGCGCTCTCTCTTGTGCATGATGCAGCATCTGTGTGGCGGCTTGAACGTACAAGTGCCGCCATCTCCGATTGTCCGCAATAACAATTCCTGTTCTGAATTATTTTACCGACACATGTTTCAAATGCTGCACTTCTTTATTAACACTGCCTAATTGCCGACAGTAACAATTAAACGGTAAACAATAGCGTTAATAATATAAATGGCAATTATTGTTCAACACATTGCAATACAAACGAGATAAACAGTGATATTTCCAAAATCATGCATTAATGAATATCAATCTTGCAATTGAATAAAAGTTAGAGATTAAAAATATTAATAATATTATACAAAAAATAACTATTTAATAAAGAATTAAATATTGTTATTATTTACGAGGGGGTAGCAAATTTTATTAATAAATCAGAAATACATTTAAATAGATGCAGAATATTTAATTAGAAATTAATTTATTCTGCATAATATTAAAATTTTTAATCTCTAGTTTTATTCATTTATTCAACTGCAACATTAATATTCATTAATATGTGATTTTTGAAAGATAAATGTAGAATATTTAGTGAATAATTAAAAATGTATTCTGCACCTATTCAAATTTATTTCTGATTTACTAATAAAATATGATACCATAAATAACAATATTTCGTGGACATTAAATGATATATGATAGAGACGACGATAACTCGTGCATAATCTATCGAGGGAGAATCGATTTTGAAATGATAAACGATGACTTGACAAATCTGATTGTGAGATTTATACTATTGATGCACTCGCTGTGATTAATCTGCGCAACGGTATTTTTTTCTAGGATATAATTTGTATTGTATCGCCCCAATCTGCCTGTCGGCCTCGTCATGACGATGAAAGCAAGCCAGCGAGCGAGGGGCATTGAAACGCTCGGTGTGTTGATCCATGCGCCGCTGCCAGGCCACGGGCCAAGTAACAGTAAACTTCGTATCGTGCCCCCCGTTATTACGTGCCGCCTCTCGCTTCTGCTTGTTTCTACGCTCGCTATCGAAATGTCGTTTGCCCCTTTCCCCTTCCCGCATCTGCTGACTAATGTCTCATATCTCTGGCATTGGACGTTCATGTCATTGGACGATCGATCACTAACGTGAAAGAAATATGTGAATATGTAAAACACACAGGTTGACCCTCTTACGGGTCAATTTTAAGCAGAATCGTAAAGCTCGTAACATTTCCGTAAGACTTATAAAAACTTACAAGTGATTATAACTTTGTGCAATATCTTTACAGACAGCTTCTTGCTAGTCATAAGATTTATGAGAAATCATAGATATTTACGAATTGTACCTCTTACGGTACGTACGAATAGAATTACAATATCAGTAATAAATTCTTACAAGTTTTACGAGAACAAGTTACGAGCCTCACAATTCTACTTAGAATTATCCCATTAGGCTCATCTATTTAATTTTCGACTTGGACTCTAATTAGATATATATTTAATTCGAATTTGAGAGAACACAGTTGAAAAATTTGTGTTAAATTTTATATATCTAGATATATGCTTTCAGAATTTGTTTATAATTCCAAGATACACGTTTTATTCAATAACAAAAAATGTGTAAATTTAATATTATAAATATTTATTTTACTGAAGAAATATGCCTTTACAATTTGCTTACAAATTGTGCCAAATCAAAAATATAAAAAGTTATATTTGATACAATTTATAAATTGTAAAAACATATTTCTTTAGTAAAATCATGTTAAATTAACACATTTTATTCATTTATCTTAAAATTTACGTTTTGAAATATATTATTTCATATTTTTATGTCAAGCTTACGGCATTTTGTCCTACTGGATCGCTTATATTAAGTAAATGACTAGAATTACATCACAGACCACACAGTGCGCAAAATTTCTAGTAATTCACAAAAACGCAAGCATCCCAGTAGAGAAAAAATTCATCATATGCTGTGTATTTTAATTGTTCAACAATTTAATAAAAATTTAATTCTTAATTATTTTAACACAATTTATAAGTAAGTGATCAATTAAACATACTAATGACCATTTTTACCAAAATATAGAATAATTTTAATCTCAATTTAAATTTTTTATGCTTTAGTATTTCTAATTTTAAGAATTAAAAAAAGATAAAAATTAATTAACCTTAGATTAAAGTTAATCTACATTGGTAAGAATGAGCATGAATATCTTAATTTAACACAAAATGTTATGTTTTTTAATCTTACATATTCGAAAATCTTGAGCAATGATTAATTGATATTCTTTAAAACAGATGTTATTCTTTTAAAAGACTCCGTGTTTAAAATTGTTGTTTAATCCTATAGATTCCAACTATTACAAATAATGACGCTTTGATAACGATTTAATTGGTCACTGGAATTAGTTTCCCTTTCAACGTAAAGCCCATCGACTTTCCAGTAATGACAACACTATTGTAATGACAAGACTGTAATACAGCACAACCTGTGTGTTTTAATAGCTCGAAAACTGAGTCAGTGGCAGCGACAAAGAACATGATTTTGCGAAGCGGCTCGGCTTGTATCGGGCCGAGGGTATTGTTGTGAACGGCGTCGTCCGTCATGAAGCCCGTAATAATAGCTACGAACGGAGATTCATCACCGAGCAGACGGAAATAATAGTAGCGCGAGAGAGAAGTTGAAACAACGAAGAGAATGCCGTAAAAGGGACGGCACGGAGCGTGTTCGGCTTTGCGTTCTCTCTTCTGCTCCATCTCCCATTTTCATTGTCTTACATTTCGCAGGACGCTCGCTTTCGCGTCGAAAGATCCGTAAATGTGTCACGATCCAAAAATATCTCTTGTTAGACACGGTGACAAACTCGGAGATCCCCGGAATAATTCTTCTTCTATCCCTCCTTTTATTCATCGCGCTTTGTCATTTTCCGTTCTTCAAAAAACGAATCAAAATGAATCTGCTTCCCCCGCATTACAAAGTGTCGCTTTGGAGAGAATTGTGTATAACGATAAAACAACAATCAATAATAATAAATTATTGGGTTGGGAAAAAAAATCCTTTTACATATATATTTTGCGACGAAATTTTCGTTGCAATTATGTCATTCGATAAAGCAAAGTTTCAGCTTTAAAAATCTGTTTTTTTAATTACGGTATGATAATTTTTAACGGAGTTATGAGCAATCAAAATCAGAATGTTCTTTTATTTAACTCTCGAATAATTCAGGAACAAAAATCGTAGGAACATTTTTATAAAATGATTTTGTAGAGAAAGCTGCAAGCTTTCACGATAGTCGAAAATTTTTCATCTGTTGCAGCTCGTAGTTTTATACATATGTAAAAATTATCAAACTCGAAAACAGAGATTTCAAACTTCAAAAAAACTCTTTTGTTAACTTAAATTTCATTCATTTTTAACGAAGAAATTATAAAATAAAAATTCTTTTACATAAGTGTAAAAAGATTTTTTCAACTTAATATTATACAAAATGGTTATTAATCATATCATTAAAATATAGAAATACTAATACGATTAATTATTATTAATATTAAATAATAATAATAGATCCATAAATTAGAATATTAATGCAGAAGTGTTGAGATTCAAATTAACTCTTCACTAAATATATACCAACAATAAAATTTTAATGTTGGTATTGTACATTTAGTGAAGTTAATTTGAACTGCAACGTTTCTAGATTAATACTAATATATATGTAAATTAACGTATCAATTTATTATTATTAATATTTAAGTATTTATATTAATATCACCTAACTATTACATGCGCTTTGTCATTATCATTATTTCTTCGACATTTGTGACAATCTTTCGCATCTCTAAACAATCAGTGCGTCTAATTACGATTAACAAACTGTAATATTCAAATATTATAGAAAATCGTTTGTTTAAACGCACTAAATACTTCTGGAACTATGCGGAGGATTACCACGAACGTCGAATTCATCTGGAAGAAATAATAACGATGACAAAACGCATGTATAATTAAAGGATATATTAAAGATAATTTCAACGCAATGTAATAAATGCAAACTTTATCGTTCAGAATACTGAACAATGAATAAAATATCAGCGCATCCACGGCATCATGCAAACCACAAAGAGCTTCCTGTGTTAGCAGTTTCTCGTTGGTACATCCACATCTTTGTCCCGCGCGATTACGGCGTAAAAACCACGCTTTTGACGCTCCGAGAATTACGATAAATCGTATTCATCGTGTCATTTTTTTCATGAAAAGTGCTTTATAACATTATCAAAACGGGGAACCCGGATATTTCAGATGAACGGAACAAAGATACCGGGACGAGCCGCGGGCGTTGTAGCTTTTTCGGTCGTGCGACGACCTCGGGAGATTCCCGTTACGAGCCCGGTGCATCGATGTCACCCGCACGCGAGGTGACGACGATAATGCAGTACATGGAGAGTCGTACCTATCTCGTAATTAATAAACGCGGTCGTTCCCACGTTATGCGCGATTCGTTAACAGTGCACATACACAAAAGGGTTATTTAATAGCGAGAAAGACGAGATTAACGGGCTCTTTTATTTCTCTCGCTCTATCGTACACTCTCTCTATCGGCTTCGCCATTCGCCACCTGTTGCAGAAATTCGCCGGTTGATTTACGGCAGTCCGATTAGCGTGGTATCCAGGAGATTACGTTTTTCTCTTTTCTCAGGCGAGATGGAGTGGCGAAACCGGTAGGATGTACACACTGTATACAAATGATATATTCCTCGTGTAAGATCGTGCACTCACCTTCGCCGGCTGATTCTCCTCCGTGCTGCTTCTCTCCCCGTGTCTCTCGAACATAGCAAAGCGATTCTAAAAATAAAGAACGATCTGATTAATTCGCTTCGACGCTACGGGAGCGCAATATGTTAAAGATTGCGTCAGACTACGTGTGATTCGTGCGCAGAACGCTTTTCAATTTCGTAAACAAAAATTTAAGGTTCCAGGAAAAGTTCATTTATTACTACTATCTCAATCTATCTCTTTATACTGTGCCATACTCTCTTAAAAAAAAAACTAAATTTTAAATATTTATTTGAATAGCGCTCTAAGTATATATATGTACTAGATAAAAACATATATTTATTTAATACAAAAATTATTAATTTGATTTAATTACTATTTTTTATTCAGTAAATATTTATTTATACTTTGAGTAAATGTTTATTTACTATTCAAAGAAATGTAATAAATCTAATTTTTATTGTATATTTTTTCACTTCTGATGTCTTTTAGGATAGCGAGGATAGTCTGACGTAAGTTTAAACATGAGCATTTTCATTCTCGGCTCAAATAATCTCGACATCGAAACTAAATATTCCGACGAGATAATGATAAATCTCTATCGCGGATTACAGACTTGAATATGTATATATTCAGCCAATAGACAGAGAGAGAGAGAGAGAGTGTGTGTGACGTAAGGAAGGAAAGTCGATGACAGGCTGTCACCTCAGTGCGGAGGCGAGATCGCGTTCTTTTTCTCGATCGGTTAACGGAGAAAGTTCATATTATTAACGCAGAGTAACAAGAAGAGAGGAAGAATCTCCTTTTCTTCCTCTCTCTCTTTGTCTCTTCTTACCCCGATTCTATACCTCAAGGTTGACACGATTGAGGACACGAGGAGAACCCTATTGAGCATCTTTCGCACAGATTTCGGACGTCCCGCGTCGCTGCTCATTTTCAGAGAGTCGTGCACTTGTCACACTCGTGTACACCAATTATTAAATATGTACGCGAAATTCAACACTGTTAAGCTTATTCTATAACGGTGTAACCCAAGAAATACATAAAAGTCAATCAGAAAAATCAAAATGGCTTTATGGATTTTGATTTTTAACATCATGCACTAAATAGTCAAATTTTTTAACTAAAGATCATTTCAACTTTTATGACGTCAAAATTAGGTCATTTTAACATCTTAATATAATGTGTTCCTTGGGAAGAGTTATTGTAAATGGTAATATTATCGTAAAAATTGACTAATTACAGTTTCCTCATGTTTGACTGTGGTTGGTCAATTCTTACAACAACAATCACTTACAATTACGCAGTTGTAGATTGGACTTTACATCATTTCATGAAAAAAAAAGAGGAACCATGACGAAGGAGCACGTAACACGAGACACGTGGCGTACAAAAATCGAGACTGCCGCGATCGGTCTTGGCCGCGCTATCAAAGACGCGCGAGCGATACCGGACGGCCGCTGCGCGAATCGAAACTGCCCGACACTCGTCAGCGCGCGTTCACGATACACCGAGAGTAAAAAGTAACGTTCGTCGCGCACTTTATCTCACCTCGGTGGTTTCCTGCTGATACCGCTCGCCGGCAGCCTGAAACGCAAAAGCGAAACGTGACGTCACTTATGTATGCGCGCCGCGTATATGTAACGTATTAGGAAAAAATGGGTGAAACGCGCGGTAATTAGCCGCGGCGGAGAGGAGCTGAATCGCTGCCTTGCTTTCTGTCTTTATTAAGATGGCCCCCAGCTTTCCTTCGGCCACGCGCGTGCGGATCCTCGAACGCCCTCGAAAAATCTCATATCGCTCGCCGCAAAAGTGAAAAAATTACACGAACAGAACGGTCTTGCTCAAGTATCTAAAAATTTAAGTAGATCTGAAAATAATTTTGTCGGACTATCAAAATAATTAAGATGCTCAAGTTAATTGCTAGAACATCAAAACTTTTTACAGCATTGTTCATCATGCTTTTTCCTACATAATTGGCTACGTTCAGCAGAGAAATTGATTAATGAGCGCTCAGTGATTCCTTAATATCATTGGTTCTTGCCTTTGGTTCTGCACTGAACTTAATGATAAGTGTAGAAATCAATCATATTAAAGATCAATCACTGATCATTTTATCTGCTAAACGCATTTTGATGGTCTGACAAAATTGTGTTCAGATCTGTATGTACCTAAATTTTTAGATACTTCAACAAAATCATTTTTTCCGTATACTCACTAGATTTCCGTGACATAAAATTTAATTATGGATGCTTTCTGTTTGACATAAGTTGATATAAGTGCCGTTCCATCTTTGTTATTCACTAAATATCAAGAAAGATGGTGTTTATGTCAACTTGTGTCATTAAATGAAAAGTACCTTACGACTAGAATGTGCAACTGCGATTAGGTAACAATACGAGTTACATTGCGTTATCGTAATAATAGATAAAACGATCAATTTTGTAATTCTGTAGAAAATAATTTAATTTGTGTTAAATAAAATAATTGTGTTAATTAAAAATATTTTAATAGCGATTTACAGAATTTATCAAATGCAAACGCATAAAAAACAATTTTTTAAGCACAGAAAAATTTGCCGACTGGATCATCAAAAGTTCTGTATATCAAAATCGGTTACACCGAATATTGTTTACACTGAGTTTGTTCTTTCGAGATTTGGACTAATTAACTCGCTTGCGTTATATACTTACGTGCGCTATACTCGCTGTATCCGGCGAGGTCGCCGAGGCCAGCTGGTTCCTGTTCTCTATGACCGTTTTTATTTGCTCGAGTACCTGCGAAACAACGATAAATAGCGGTCAATAATGCGCGCGGTGTGTCATTTGCGGAAATTTTATCTGACGCAGAGATCTAATTTTTCGAAAGTACGGACTTCTCTTTTCATCTCTTCTTTTTCTTTTACTAATTGTACGAAGACAAAATATTCTCACCACATTTTGCAAAACGCAACTTTTAGCCTTGTCAGTAGATATATATACGTCATGCGTATAGAATGCGACATTTTAACGCCACGAAAAGTGGAAAGACATTTGCGACAGAAAAATATACGACGATAAAGATTATTATGCGTTTCGTGTGAAATGTTTATCACCAAGAGCGCCGGCCGCGACACGTAACGCGTCGATTTACGAGCTTTAAAAGTATGTTAAAAGCTTCCGCGAATTTACCCGAAGGGATATCCGATGTCTTTGTGCGACGTGATGATGATTGTACTCCTTGTGCTCGATGATCTCGTTACTCTTCCTGGCCTGCCTCCGCTGGAAAAAAGAGAGACGAATGAAACGTAGCGTATAAGTGAAACCTAAAGTCCTTGCAGGTTTTGGGTTTTCCATGAAACATGAAAACTATTCGCGACTTTCCTCAAGTATCAGGACGGAACGCGCTTCTCATTTTTCTCTCGAAAATAGAAAGGATGGAAAGAGGGATGTCCCACATTTCGCATGGCATTCTGACACGAATCATCAAATAATTATGAATCTCGATAATTGCAGCCGTCAGGAGATACACTCAAACTGTGATTATCGCTGTTCTAATCGAAATGCATGATATAATTTACCAGAATATAAATTTTCGAAAGCAGGAAGTAAATTCTACCTTGTAAATATTATGTTCTCGCAGAATCGAATTAATGTATGTCGTTTATTATTAAAAGAACATATGAATAAACTGTAATTATCCCTCTCACTCCAATCAAAGCATAAAATATGATTTTTACTGACATATATATTTCAAAAGAGATTGCGTTTTATAAATTATACATTGCTTTTAATAAAGAATCAATATTATTGCATACAAAAAACAATTTTGCTAAAAAATATCTAAAAATTTAATTAAATACAGATTTGAAAATATTTGAAGTACCAAAATAATTATTATGTAGAATAATTACATTGAAAGCTGTATAAGTATTTTTAATACAAAAATTATGAAAAATTTCTATATTATGTTTGAAAATAATACAAAAAGTATGACGGCAATAGAACCCGGATAAAAAATTATCTCAATAAGAAACAGACATGTTTAAAAAAATTAATTAAAATAAAATATAAAAAAATTTGTATTCAAACTATAAAATAATATTGTTAAATATAAATAAACTTGATTAAATCATTTAATGTGTATATACATTTATTTGTATACGGAAAATATTTTTCAATTCAGTTATTTTTTGTAGTGGCAATATACCTAAAACATTCCAAAGTGTAGATATGATAATGCTGCAAAAACTTTTAACATTCTAGTAAACAGTTTAAGCGTTCTACATAATTATTTTGACGATCTAAACAAAATTATTTTCAGATCTGCATCTACCTCAACTTTTATGTACATAAACAAAATCATTCTTTTCATGTGTAAAAATAAATTAAATAATTCTTATCAATAATATTTCTTCTAATAGATTCACTATGTTATCAACAAACTCAAAATATCAATATTTTAATCTGTCCAGAGATACTAGCACACATATTACGTTAGTAATGTAATTCAGATTTTGTAAGTTTAATATATTTCTGACAACGAAAAAAGAAATAATAATGACTACTAGAATCGTATTTTAAATTATTTTTATTTCTTTTCCTTTGTTTAATTGGATTTAAATTTAATAAAATAAAATTTTGAAAAAATTAAATTACATTTCTCTATCTTTAAAAATTTGTCTCTCTGCAGAGATTAAAATAACAGTTACTACCTTTGTTATAAATGATACGTGCTGCAGTGCACGTAAAATGGTCGGAAGCAACAAAAAAAAAACCGGAGATAACAATCTACAGTCGCTCGAAAGGAAGAATAACGAAGGAAAGTAACGGTGTATTGTACATACATACGACGGGAGAAAGAAAAAGTAAGTCGCACGTTTGTTTCGAGGAAATGCAGTACGTCAGCCGTCCGACGCGCCGGTTAATTAGCAGCCTTGTTCGTTAATTACGTTCACAGTGGCGCATCGTCATTTTTATGCAATCCACCGGTAACGGCGATCGGTTTACTCGAGTAACACACTCGTGCGAGAGCACCGCACGATTCCTCGCTTCGCCGCGGGAATTGGAAGACAAGTCACGAGCCGATCACAGACACGTGTACTCGCGTATAGCACGATTCACGCGCGTGCTTAGAATACCTATCCGATCTTCCGATGACCGCGAGATGAGACGAAAAGCACCGGTCGTTTTTTTCTTTGTAGCTGTTTTTCACGCTTCACGCAGTGGCGAGCACGACTCGCGAAGTCGCCGCGCGCTCGCGTATATAATTCGCGGATATGTAAACGACATGAGCAAATACACGTGCACGTGCGTACTTGCGTCACGATTAACGAGCTCTTACGGATAATTCGAGTGTCGCCGGGAGTTTCACCGGTCGCGGTGAAAAGGAAAAGAGTCTCGAGCGTCCGCCTCGCGAATGATTACGTGAACGTTGCATCAAACGCGCAGAAAATAATCTACCATTAACTATTGATATACATTAACGCTTAAATACTTTAATTTTTTATAGCAAAATAGTTTGTTCATTAATTTTTTGTAAAATCGATAAACTATTAGCACACTGAAAAATTATTTAAAAATTAAAAGAAATTAACGTTTCTTCCTTTTATTAATTTTGCGTAAATTGAAAAATTAAACACACAGGAAATAATCTAGCATTAAATGTTCATTAATTCATTAACGCTTAATTATTCGTTTTACTCTTTACTAATCATTATAAAATCAATAAACGATAAAACTATTAGTGTTTATCGCAAAATTTATTTAGCAACTTTCAAAATAAGTGCTTTAACCTTCGTTTGTAATTTTGCACGAATTTGGGAAATCTTATTAGAGAGTCGCAGGAAATCTAATCTACCGTTAAATATTCATTCATTAGCGCTTAAACAATCGCTTTAATCTTTCCTAGCAATTATAAAATCAATGAGCAGACTATTAATGCATCGCAAAATCTATTTAAAAAAATAAAAAAAATAAACGTTTCTTCCTTTTTTAATTTTACACAAAATTGGTAAATTAAACACGAAGAAAATATAATTTACTATTAAATATTAATTCATTAACATATAAAATATTTGCTTTAATCTTTTATAATGATTGTATTAAAAGAAATTAAAATAATAAACGTTTCTTTTTTTCTATTTTTAATGTTGCGCGAGTTGGAGAAAAACTTATACTCGGTATTTCTTTAAAAGAACTTTTCATGTGTCTTAAGCTTGGACTTAAATAATCTACTGGTCCTTCGTGACCGGACCCCTGAGAAATACGCTAAAAGCAACTGCAACGTTTTACAGAACATCTGTGACATCTGAATACAAGAATAAATACTGACCTCGAGCGTCGCCAGGCTGGCCAGCGAGGAGAGAGGCCGAGTGTGAGGAACTTCTCCAGGGAAAACGCTATCGTGAGATACTGACAATTTGCCGGCGCCTCCTCGTAACTTGACGAAACTATCCTCCACCCCGCTTCGTCGGAGAAATACGCTAAAAGAGCAAAAAGATAGTGTGACGTTCAATAAAATATGTTATAAGAGTTATTTCGAATTTCTTCGATGGTATCTCATTTACATAAAAGTAGAAATTCCTTGTTACATTATTACATCAAATTAAAATTAAATAGAAACAGAACTTGCGTAAGGACGTGTGTATCTAAAAAAAAAATATATATATATATATATATACATATAAATCGTGTACTAAAAAATACGTGCAATAAAATTAATTAATGATTTTTAACGTTAAAAATATTATACGAATAAAATATAACACAGTAAAAACATACGAATATTTTAGTTTTTCAGTAATGAAATTACTTCTAATTCATTGCAAAGAACTAAGCACACACATTCGACGCGAACAGCGCTCAACATAATTTATTCAATGCCGTTAATATTCATAATTAAAACGATGAGTTATTTGCCAGGAATGACACACGTCACAACGATAGATAATTATGCGGCTATTCTGTGATATGTTACGACGGTATCACTCGAGCAAAAGCAAACCGCGTCGTAGTTATATGATACGTTATATATCGACCCACGTAAATACAGAACACGCAAACCGCCCTCAAGTTTCGTGCTACTACGAGGTAAGCTACTATGAGGTACTACGAGGACAAAAATAAAAGTTCAGTGAGAAAACGAGGCCAAGGATCATAAATTGATAACGAGCCGAATGTGGTTACGCTCATGATTCAATTCGCGCTTCGAAAAACGTAAAAGTATTTTATTATACATCCAATTTTTATTTTAAACCCGTTTAAAAAAAGACATCTTCCTTTTTGCTGCCAGTAGTACTATTTTGTGAAGAAACAAATAAAAAAAGGTAAAATAAAATATTTGAAACAAATTACAAAAAAAATTAAAAAGAGATCGTTTGTCAAAAACAACAATGGCAATTACTATCGGAGATGTATTACAATTATTATGTTATCTATGTCTTAATTAAGTAAGCTTTTGAGATAAGCGGTTACTTTGAAGTATTGTTAGATTTTTAAATTTGAGCAAGGTCAATGTTTTTCTACAGTTATTCTATTAACATTTGTTCGTAGTTAGACACAACGAAAAGTAATTAGTTATTATCAGTAACTGATATTTCGATGGTACGACTAGCACTACACACAGAAAAATACGCATATTACAAGCAGTTAATAATTACTTTCAAAAATTAATTTATCCGCAAATCTATCATAGTTCGTCATAAATTAAATTTATTCAAAATATATTCTAAATTCTAAAAGTAAAATAAATTTACCAAATTAAATGATAATTCAAGGCTCAGAAGAATAAATCAAAAGTTGAATTAAAGAATTGCCAATATGAGCCGACACTAGTTGATCATGTGTGTAAAATAATTATTTTATTATAATCGTATACGTTTCGATCTCTGTTTGAGATCCTCCTCAATACATAGAAAACTTATATTAATAGATGAAGTTATAAAATAAAAATCGAAGAATCAAATACGCAATAATTAACATTGTCCGGCAGTCTACTCTCGTTCATTAAAGTGTTGAATTTACTAAAAAATTGTGTATCAATAATTATTAACAATACATAACGATATTAATAATAAAGACATTCTTTCAAAAAACATTCAAAAAGATTTTTCACTCACATGAAGACGAATTATTGATATTTCGATGGTACGACTAGCACTACACACAGAAAAATACGCATACTACAAGCAGTTAATAATTACTTTCAAAAATTAATTTATCCGCAAATCTATCATAAGTTCGTCATAAATTAAATTTATTCAAAATATATTCTAAATTCTAAAAGTAAAATAAATTTATTTAATACACACACTTCAATTAAGATCACTGAATTAAAATAAATTTGATTTGCTTATATTATATAAAGTCCAGGCACATTCTTTGGTTAATTTTATAATATTCTTTAAAAAATTTTTTAATAATTATTTTAAAAAGTAACATCTGTAAATATAATAAGTATAAGATAACGTACTTTCGCATGGAATCGATTATCCTTATATATTTTAAGTAAGTTTTTAAGAAAATTCCCGAGATCTATAAGTAAAATATGTAACCACGTTTCTTACCTTTCCCGATCGCAAGAGTCGGTGAGGAGCTCACTGGCGCTCCTGCTGCGGGCTTCCTCTGGTCGTCCCGCAGGATGCCTCATGGTGATCTCCTCCCGTGGGAGACGCGCCAATTCGGCATCCCGATCAGTGGAATTGGAAACGGAACGCGCATCAGCGGCTCCGCGGCTCTTTCGCCGGAAGATCTTCCGAAGACCGCGTAGGGGATGAAAGCGACGCTTCTTTGGTTCTACAAGCGAAAATCATACGAAAAAAGGTTCAGTTAAGAAAACTCAAATTGTGTGATATAAATTCTCTTCGGGAACACTGGCACAGTAGCCTTATTCTGTAACTCTTAACGATGACAATGTCAATATCGTTATGTGTCGTTGCGTAGCTTTTTTACCATATGGAGTATCTGCGCAATGACATTGTAACGATATCGACACTGTCAGTTACAGAATAGGGCCACAGGTACGTATTACATATCTCGTTCAGTTATTTTTTAATTTTAATATTCCCGACAGAAGAAGAGAATAAACATTCACTACAATATTCCTTCATTTTTTTTTTTTTGATTACTATACGGATTTCATTGAGGATGAAATATTAAGTAAAATACATTAAATAAAAAATTAAATTATACTTTTTAAATTATTATTAAAAATCCGTTCTACAATACCATTTAATTAAAAATTAATTAGAAATTAATTACAATTCAAGTGAAAGCGCACAATTACACGAACAAAATAATTTTTAATATTTAATAATTAAATTCTAAAAGTATTTAAAAGAAGAAAATTTAACAACGCGTGCAATATATTTCATAGATTTGTGTCATCATCACTAAAATTTACAATTTTGAAAATCTTGCGAGACGCACGATGATCAGGCGATATTTACCAAGAAAATCTACGAGTGAGTCGAGAGAAGGCATCCTACGTGGAGCCTAGAATTATAGAATTCGCGTATTCCGTTTGCACAGTGTACACCTGACTGACTTCGCGGATAATACGCAAAATACACGACGACGGTCGTAACGTGATAAGATTAGAAGCTCGGGCTTTACGATAACTCTATATCGGCTCAACATATCGTGAGCCGAGAAGAGCCTCTCCTTATAAGGTATGGACCTAATATCGTGCTAGTATTCGTGCTCTCTCCCTCCCTCCCTCCCTCCTTCCCTCTCTCTCTCTCTCTCTCTCTCTGTAATGGCCTTTACCCTCTTCTTGTCCGCTCTTCTCTGACCTGCCTCTATCCTTGTCACTCATAAGCACTCCAACCTTATCCACTTTTGACGTGACACATCTGCCAATGCTTTTCAAGAAAACCTTGCGATGCCTTCGACGTTAATGTACAAAAGAGACAAGATTTGAGACTTTTAGCAGGTAGACGGGCAATCTCAACGAGATGGCAGAAAACAAAAATTGAAAGCAGTCCTTACACATACATACTCGTATTTACACCGCGTTATGTGATAAACCGATAAACGAAAATAATGAATAAATAATCGTCATAAGAGTAGTATAAAGTTACAAAGATAATATAAATAATAAGTAAGAAACCTCTTAAAATTATTAATATTTTTTATTACACAAAAAGCTAACTCTCTTCCAAGGTTTTAATAAAATTATGATAGTAATGTAAACGCGACCTAAATAAAATGTATATACTTATCTGCACATTTTTTAAATTATACAAGGTGTCCCAAAATTTGCAACTCAAAATAATGTAAGAAAAATTTTTTGAAAAATTAAATAGAAACTCGGTAGTCTAAAGGTTTAAAACGCTCGCACGGAATGCAAGAAATCCGAATTCGATTATCGGCCGAAATAATATTTTTCGCAATAAGTTTATTACAGTTTTTAAGATGAAATTTGAGGGAATTATTTATATTTCAGATGGATTGTGTTAACAGTCCGCGAAAGTAACGGCACACAATAATAATTCTAAAATAAATTTATTTAAAAAATATGTATATGTATTAGTTCAACATTTAATTTTAACCGTATTAGTACTTCTTAATTTAAGTGAATTTAAGTGAATTATTCATATAAATGGTTTTGTTTCCCACAAAATATTGTTAAATAAATTATTTATAAATTTTTATTTTATAAATATAGTAATGTGTTTAAGATTAAAGATTTAAACATGATTAATTACAGATACAATAAACCTGTGAAACTTCAACATGTTTACTAATAAACGCTTCATAAACGATTCATAAACAAATGGCCATCTAAATGTTTATGTATCCCTAAACCTTATTATCTCAAAATCACTTGAAATAAAAATTTACAAAAATAACTTTTTTTATTTAATTTTTCGAGAACTTTATTACTAGAATATTTTAAGACGCGAATTTTGGGACATTCTGGATAACAATGCAATCTCCTTTGTAACAAACATAACGGCCTTCAAATTCTCGTAGCTATACATTTAATTATATAAATACCTTGAAACAACAATACAAGGTTACGTTTGGAAATACCACTGGAGTGTCCTCACATATCATTTTATCCTTGGTTTAACATTTAATAAACAACAAGGATAAAATAACACATGCAGACTTTCGGTGTTTCCGAATATCTAGTCCAGAATATATAGACTTTCAATATTAAACAACATTTTGAAGTCAGTGTATCCTAATTTGTTGTTGCATTCTCAATTTTGATATGGTGTGATGACGCTCTGCGCTTAAAGTCGATCTACCACAATTCCATCTCGACGCATAGTGATGCTGTGCTTAAAGTTGATCTACCACGATGTCTACGTTTCGCGATCAAATATCGGCCCTTAACGAGACAAGGGGAGAGGAATGTACGCTTGATCGGGAGTGATCTTTACTGTGTACTTGACACTCTGTTGCGAGCGCACTTTACACGCTTCAATGACGGCTTTAACGTCGTTGAAGCGCGAAAAATAACGCTATGCTAGAGTTGTTCGCTAGCGGCTGTCTATCTCACAGTAAAGCGTCACGTAACGAGAACATCTGTTTGTAGGATATTGAAGAATAATGCATCGTCACTGCAGCTACGGAAATTCTCGACATGAAAAAAACCGACGGAGAGCAAAGATTATCTGTGGTATACATTGTACAAACGAGTGATACAATAAAATTATGAAAAAATAATAAAGTTAAAATATGGGAAATTTTATATTAATTTATAGAAATTATTTTATAGTTTTATTAAATATCATTTCGGTCGCGCAATTAAAAGTAATTCTATGAAATATATCGTGGTATAAATATGTAATATTTTACTCACCGAGCTTTATTTCACATTAAAATTCGAAAACATTTCTTATTACAGTTTAAATTAAAATTTAATACAAGAAGCGAGTACAGTAAATTAAATTTTTTTTTATGAGAAAAGTTGAAATTTAATTTTTCTAGAAAATTAATGAGCATTTAATTATAGAGGGATTTCGGTTGGGATAAACAACAAACGTCAGCTGACCGAGAACTCACAAAGTTTCCCCACTAATTGTATTTCTCAATTAAAAAATTAACCCGTGAGTTAATTTACCCCCGCGCTCGTCGAGCTCTGCAATTTACTGAGACTTAATCCAATGGCGGAGGTCATTATACCGACCCGGAAACTCATCCGTAATGACACATAACGCAGCTATGTTCTCCTGAACAATAGTCACGGCACGCAGTAATGCAAAACAGGAAAAAAAAAGAAATCACAGCTCGCCGCCTACCATAATCATAATTGTCGTTTTAATCTCTGTCCGCTCCTAATTAAACGTACGCGCTTCTTACTAAGTATTACCACTAACGACGACCTCGATTTACCATTGCATCCTTGCCCGAGATGCAGAGAACGTCCTCGTGCAGCCTTGCGGATTGCAAGACGATACCGTAACGTAATGCTACTTGGGCGTAAACTTGAAGAACTGTTGAGTAAAATTAATAATTTATCTCCTCCACACTGCACTGTTAAATCCATAATATCAAATTTAACGTATTTGAGTCGTTATTTTATACTAAAACAATGGTTAAATTTGACATAGTATGCAGTAGTGTCAATTTGACGCTACATGGTCAATTGACCAATCGTCAAAATTATATAATTTTATAATTAACCATTGTTTTAATATAAAATAACGATATATTGAGTAGAAGCTGCGACTTAAATTAGATTGAAATTTGATACTATAGATTAAATAGTGTGTGAACAAAATTGTTTATTTATCTAACTTAATTTAGTTCGTCTTTATTTCTTTCAATGAAGAATATATATGTATACATTATATTTGACTTAAATGCATACCTTCTTCGATAAAAAAAAATAAAGACAAAATAAATTAATTTAGCCAAATAAACAATTTTTTTCAGTGTAAATTTGAAAAATCAAATCAGTTCTGCTTTAATTATTTTCTTAATGAAAAGCAATCTTCATTATTTTCATTATAAAAACACATTAAAATGACAAAATGATAATCATAAAAAAATATAAGCAACAATATTTTGGTACTGAATATCACAATGCGTGGTGTATTTTTATAGGAGATTGTTGCGTTACAAACGTAGCATTCGATGGAACCCGTATGTTTCATCATATGCCTCGTTTACCCATGGCTTGCTGTAATACACGCCTCGAAATTGGAAATTCGCGTGTCCTATATTGAAAGAACGCGCGACGCGACGCCGGGAATCTTATTCTCGAAGGAGGAAATGCAGTTTTTCCGACGGCGCATTTAGATCATCGCTAACAGCGTCGTATATCTACCATCTTTTAGAATTTGCCAGAAAACAGAGTTCCTAGGAAGATCTATTCGATTTGAATAATGTAACGAATGATCGGAAAAATACGCCCGGCAATCATCGCATTTCGTTTTACGCATATGACACGCATGTTGCATCATTTAGATCGCTATTTGGTTCGTGCGTTTTTGTTGCGTTTGACAAATGTGTGCAAAATAGAAAAGTCTTCGGATCTTTCTATCCTAGAGCCAATCAACAGGCTTGAAAAATTACGCACAAATGAAACAGCAGCCTTATCCTCTCGTTTACATTTGATGAAACAAAGATAAATGATCATGCATTATGCGCATCATGCGTGAAACGGAAGAAATTCTGATAGATTCAATGGGACAGTATTATTCAACAAACAAGAAATTCTGATACAGTTAACGAGAAAAATTAATTCAATCAACATGAAATTCTGGTAGAAGTTACGAAAACAACTGTTCGATCAATAAGAAATTCTGGTAATTAGAAGGAATTAATCAAATTCATCCGATAATTATTACAAGAATTCTGATTCGTCCGTTTTTGAATAGACATACTGGTTGAATCAACCAGATTTCCAAATAAACCAATCAAACTCTTTTTTCAGTGTACTCGCAGATGTTTCTATAATCTCATAGAAAATCAATAAAGTATTGTACATTAACGTTGATGATCATAAATTCTATTTAAAAAAAAGTAAAACCGTACTTAACCCACCAAACAGTAGATTCTATTGAATCCAATCAATATCAATTTCTTTATTAGAAATATCAACCATTCAATTTTTTACAAAAATTTAGATTATTGAAATGTACTTAGTATTCATCCTTTTTTTTATACTCCAGTATAAAACCGTTATATTCCTTAAAATTAATTAGTGCTTTTTAATCAACATAAACTAAATGGATCTTACAGACTTAACTGTTACAAACTTTGGCGTCATCTTTGGAATGTTAAGAACGATTATATGAAGTAAAGTTTCTTAATTAACACTAGTTTTTATATAATTTTCTATATATTCTATATTCTATATATTCTATAACATTCATTGTTTATCTACTATTTTAATAACTAATTCTATAAAAATATAAACTTACTAAAGTGTTACAGAAAAAGAAACTTTAAAATTACGATACGTTGATTATATTCTGAAAGTTCATTAATCAAATTGATAACTACTGAAATTGCTTTAGAACTCTTATGCATCTCGCAAAGTTACAAACTGTCAAAGTATACTATAATAAGAGTACTCAACTTCACTGACCTTTGGGTAGAGGGTCGACGCTGTGCTGGGTCGCCGGGAACTCGCCGAGACCGAAAGCGCGATGGTGCTGATGATGATGATGCTGATGATGGTTCTGAGGGGGCGGCGAGGCCTCTCTCACGCAACCCATCAAGCTGAGGGCACCGCCAACGCCTCCACCACCGCCTCCGAGGGCGGTGCTCGTCGACATCGTCCTGCTGTTCTGAAACACCCCGAAGAACCAAAGTGCGACGTAGGACTCTCTCACGCGTTGGTACCATGCCGAGAGAAACGAGCCCTCCGACCCTTTCCAGCTCTTCCAGCCGTCCATCTCTCCCGCCTCTCGAATTCTCAGACGTGTCTAACGCGACGAGAAAATACTTTGCTTCTCCACGCCTGCCTGTTGTTTAATAAGCGCGGATGGGAATTAAAAGCGAAGGTGTGGTCTTGGTACGGCTATGTTGCGCGGACGATTCGGGGAATATTGATTTCTATTAGCTGACCTTACTTTCGTCTCTCTCGAGGCGACCTTGCGCAACTTAATTTGGCACAAATGACGCTTCAATTAGGATCATAACTTACTTTTCATTTCTGCAACGATTAAATAAAAAGAAAATAATTGATTCATTCTAACAACGTCAGCAAAGAGACTATAGGAAACCTTTTTATTGAAAATTATTTTGGAGGAACAGTTTTGTTATAATATTTTTACATGTAATTTTCGAGAAGTCGATTATTTAATATTATTTGATTACATTAGACTTGTTAATATGGAGCAAAAATATCGACTATATGAATATATTTATGCATTCAAAAATTATTTATATTCACCCTGAATAGACATTATAACGAATAATGAATAAATTTTTTTATTGCGATTAAATTAAAATCAATTTCATGTAATTCAATTCTCAATACGTAGTTTGATACAATTTCGTTTTTTACTGTGAAAACTAGTGCAGCACTGATGCAATTGGATGCAAATCAATTCACATATGTTTAGTATTAATAAATAATTTAATCCTTTTATTATATTACAGTATCACTTTAAAGACCGCGAGGTTAATCTTTTTATTTCTTTGTTACCATAATAGCTTTATAATCTTAAAAGGATTAGATTATAATATTAACACTGCAAACCACTTGTAAACCAATTTGCACTCATTTGCATCAGTGTTGCACTAGTTTTCCCAATAAAAACGTTATTAATGTGTGAGCATATAAAAATTAACTAATCGTTCGTTTAGTACAAAAGACACAGCAATATGGCATTTTTTAAATGCGATATTTTGCTCAATTTTTCTATGCTCTGTAAGTTTAGTCTATGGATAGAATCAAAGCTTTCAAAATCGAAAATATTCATGAAAACGAATAGTTAAAAAATATCTAGCCGATATTTCAATCAGAATGTTTTGTTCAACGTTTTCATATGAAGCTGAAAATATCAAATAGTTGATATTATCAAATTACGATAAATATGTTCTAGATTGGATTGATTAAACAATGATACTCGATTAATTTATATAATTTTAAACGTACTTGGTCCATTTTATTTAGGTTTAAAATGACATTGATGTGTGGCGGTTCAAAAGATTATAATAAGAGTTCCAAATTATACTGCCTTGTGTTGTTTCATTTGATATCTCCACTACTCGCCCACTGATCCGTAGTAATGTCTATTATCGTATAAGACGCGGCACCAAGTGAACAACTCACAGCGACTCTCACCGATCGAGGGGACACAATTATCTGCGAGTATTCTTCACAACGCAAAGAGATTAAGTTCCCAAGCGTCTCTTTCCCAAAGAGAATCCGTGTCCCGGACGCGGAAAAGATTCCTCACCGTAGAATGTCGCCTTTAATGAATCGCAAAGAAGGGAAGGAAGAGCGAGAGAAGAACGCGGAATGCATTAAACGCGCTGCCGCCTTCGCCACTCTCTCGCGCCACTACTCCGTAACCATACAGGATTGATATCCCGATTCCCCGGGTCCCGCTCTCCGTGCGTCGACGGGCTGCCGTTCCCCGCACCTCCAGGCAATGGGGGTCAGGAGGAGATGGTCTCCATAGCAACTGCATCCGGCAAGGGGATGCGCGGAGCGACGGCGGACGGAATGCATCGATTGCACCCTCTCGGCTAGCGCGCACACGACCCTGACCTTCGCACAGCTGACGAGGATGACGGCGAGCTGCTGGGCTCTCTGCTCTGCATCACCACATTAGGAGAACGTGGGGAAGCCCGCCGAGAATTAGTGCTGCCGGTTCTTATTAAGCTGCCGTTAGTTACGCGTCGCGTATGTTAAAGTGCGATGTCATCAAAAATATCGCGCATGAACATTGTTTAATGTCGAATTTGTTTAATTTATTTTTAATCATTTTTATATCACCAATACTCCTACACTTGAAACATTTCTATTAAATTTTACGTGTTCCAAACGATAAACTCAAATTTTAGTATTAACTTAATACAAGATAAATATGTTAAATAGTTTTAAAAAAAAAACAAATATTGTAAAAAATTAATAAAAAAATGTAACACTTTGGCACGATTTGAAAACAAAAAGTAAAAACATATTTCTTTACTAAAATTAAATTTACTATTATATGTTAAATTAACATGTACCTTTTCATCTTTTACGCATTTATCTTACAATTAGAATTTATGCCTTAAAACATTATTGTTGTTATTTGTTCAATTTAATCATAAATTATATTATTTTAATTCTAAGAAATGTAAAATATTAATTTAATACAAAATATTCAAATAATATAATATATAATATTAAAAATTCAACCAAAAATTTTAACAGGCATCAATATTGACACAAGTGTACAAAAAGATGTTTTTATATTTAATATATCGTTGATTTAACTAAAACAATGAAATTAAGCAACTTAAGAAACGTATTAAATTTGATTCAAATTTCATCTGTTACTTGCGTTAATATATTGAGTTGGGGAAAAAGTCTTTTTATGTATATATAAAAGGACTTTTATTTTACAATATCTTTGTTAAAAATAAACAAAATTTAAATTTAAAAAGAGGTTTTAAACTTAAAATCCCTAATTTAAAAAAATTACTATATTTTTTGAGTTTTTGTAAATTTGATAATTTTTACATATAAAAAAATTACCAGTTAAAAAAATTAAAAATTTTCACTTTGTGGGTTTTTCACGTGTCTACAAAAATTTAGGAAATTTTTCGACTATCTATCGTGAAAACTGTCCCTACAAAATCATTTTTTTTAATGTTTACAATTTTTTGTTCCTGAGTTATTCGCGAGTTAAATGAAGGAGCATTCTGATTTTGATAACTCTGTTAAAAATTATCATACTGCAATTAAAAAACTGATTCTTAAACTTTACTCTATCGAATGATATAATTGCAACAAAAATTTCATATGTATAAAAGAACCCTTCCTTAACCCACCATTTGTTGATTTTTTCCTAAACCTAATATAAACGATATTTACTTTGAAACTAAACCAATTACAGAAGTGGATTGATTTACATTTTAATATACAAAAGAGGGAGTAAAGAATAATTATTTATTATTTAACTTAAAAGGGATTAAGTTAATTACTATTATTCCTTTTATATCTAACAGTGAATAGTTGTAAGAGAATTCATTACGCGGTGCTCCTATCGTTTTAAATTTAGAATAAGTAATTCAGGATAGAGAAGTCAAAACAATAGAAAAATTTTTTTGCGGACTCGGTGATGCGAAAATTTGATAAGTTATTGAGCAGAATAATTAGTTATTTCCTTGCTTTTGGTATAATTAATTTATAATTGTTTTTTTACATTAATTATGCACTTTTCACATTTGAAGTTAAATTAACGTACGGATTGCATAAAAGAGGATTAATATTTCTTTTTAACGTATCGCTAATTTGTTACATCAATCATAATCAAAAGCGCAATTATTTTCTGATTGCCGACTGGAAATAAATCATAACCAATAATTATTTTCGCTCCGCTTATTTCCGTTATTAATCATAATTATTAATTATTCAAGAATTGTAAACATAAATGATTATAGATTTGTTATTAAATAATAATTGATTTAATTGCATTTTGCTTTCTCTAATAATGCAAAGGTTAAAAACTCTTACTTATTATTAGACTTTATGTAATTAAGAGTACCGTGTTTGACAAGAAAAGTTAAATCACACTTGGTCGGTTTAACGTTAAATGTCATGTGAAAATTATTGGATTTTAAGTTATCGCGACTTCAGAAAGCTACAACCCGTGAAAATTGATCGCGTCGTTGCTTGTAAGATAGTTTTATCAATAAAGCAACCTTGACACAATTTCTAACATACTTTACCCAGAATTAATATCGAATTTGGCGCCACCTCCTGCATTTGTCATTTTCAGGAATGCAGTTGACATAATTTCATAGAAAAACCATTACAAAGTTTATACAAGTTGGAGCAAATATGTGTGCGCTCCCTTCAAAGATTGCTGGCTTTGCAACAAGTGGACACACAGACTAATGCTAATGTGTGATATCACCTTTCACGGTAACCTCATCGAACTTCTTTTCTAATATCAACTTGTTTGATCGGCCTTGCCAAGATTTGTCGATTAGTGATATATATATATATCAAAATTATTACGTAAATTAAAACGTTATTATGTAAATCACTAATATTGTAAGAATATTATATATATATTATTAAATTTCCTTAAATTATATAAAATAAAATATAATTACAGATTACTATTCCATCATTATATAATTACAAAATAGTAATCTATAATTTTTATATAGTTCTGTATTTATATAAAACGATAAGCTTAACCGAGAAAAATATATAGATAAGATATTTTATATGTTTAGAGATATAAGTATTTGATTTTTAGATACTTTAAGGAACAGTTTTCTTTTACTTCGCGTTGCAAAATCCACACCTTCACACTAAATATTGCAGTTACCAATTCTAATCATGAATAACTACCAATATTTTAATTAGGTCGTAAAGATAAAAACGTTTAAAAATTTTCAATTGTCCGTACAACATGGATACGGCTGGAATTGCTGCAAAAGCTGGGCGGTACACGCATCCCGGAATGCATGCAGAAGCCGTCAAACGACGGCGCACAATTTTCCATTCGATACATAGCGTAATTACGCGCTTCCGGTTTCTCGGAACAATTACAGTCGGGCGACCATCCGCGACGACGAGCCATCGATCCATCCTCTCTCTCTCTCTCTCTCTTTCGTTCTCTTTCATCGCGATGGCATCTAGAAGCAATGGAATGCGAAATAACATCGCTTTCATGCCATGATACGTTTCGCGTGCATTTCGGAGTAAAACAATGCAAACTCTTCTGTAAAATCTGCCGCGTTCTCGTTAATCGGAAAAACGATGCCAAGCCTTTGCTAAATGCTCGGCCATAAATCTCGCTCGATGATCGCCCGATAAACCATCAAATGATTACGTGTCAGAAAGACGTAATTATTACGTCAACCTAACGTACGAATCTTAAAGATATGTATCTATCGTTTACTTATAGCAGAGCTAAGAAAGTTCTAAAAACTGATAAATTTAAATGAGAAATCGAATATCGTGCAACTATAAATAAGTAAAATAATTTTCTAAATGTTATAAAACTATTAATATTGAAATAGAGATATAAACATATATAAGAAACATTTTAATATAATTGAAATTGTTAAAAAAGCACAATGTGTTAATGTGTCTCGAAAAGTCATAGTAAGAAAGTAAAAATCGAATGAAAGTTAATTAAAAAAGACATTTTTTAATCCATTTTCTTACTTCCTTCAATTCTGCTAAAAATGTTTTACTGAAGTGTAGTTTAACAATTTAGTTAAAAATATATCTGAAAATTTAATTAATTTTATTGGACTATTAAATATATATAATTATACTCAAACTATCAAAATAATTATACTGTGTAGGACATTCATGGTTGTTGTTGCTGTAGAATAGTGTAGAATATATGTCAACAATTTTTGCAGCGTTGCTCATAGTATGAATTCCTTAATAATCATTTTGATAGTTCGACAAAATTATTATCAAATCTGTGTCTAACTAAATTTTTAAATACTTCAGCAAAATTCTGTCCGTGTAGAATTAGGAAAATTGATTCAGTTGATTATGAAGAAATATGATCCGTATCTTCTTACCTTACAAAAGGCGTAGCATGTCAAGTCCTGGTTCGTATACGCGCCGAATATCTGTAAGAGAAAGAGATAAACATCCGTTAAAATTGAAAGAATAGCGAGAGTGAGAAATAATAAAGGGATAACTTGGCAGAAACGATGACAGTGTCGGGGTCATGTCGGGTCAATGAATAATATCCGACTTGTGTACCGATCGTGTTTCACGCGAACTTTACTACCTACTCGTTCCGCGAATCCCCGACTGATTTATGCAACACCGATATCCGCAACAGAGAGCTTTCCTCGAAATTTATGCTCAACTAAATTTTCAAACGTGTTCAATTCGATTCAACGCTAAGCCGTTCGATTCTACGCTAAGTCGACCGGAGGATTCGACTGATCAAGACGCTTCTACCGTTAGTACGTGAATTTATGAATAAAATAAAATACCAAATATATATATCTGATCTTACCAGAGGCGCATACGATGTGATCTTTCATGTTAAATCGTATACAGTTTAGTATATTACTATATACTGAAAACAAATATATCTATACTAAATTTTAATAAATATTTGTTTGAATTGTACCAAAATATTTTTTAAATATAAAGATATATTTATTTGATACAAGAATTATTAATTTAAAAAAATTAAAATAATCAAAAGGCTCAGTGGAATAAATCAATATAATATCGCCAATTTTTGTTTTTATTTTCTTGAATTATTAATTTGATTTAAGTAAATACTATTATCCACAGAAATAGATTGCTTTACATTATGGAACACATGGAAATTACAAAATAATAAAATGTTCAATTTAAAATATTCAAGGTTACCGAAGTATTGAGTTATTGCTCCTTTGATGTTTAATGTATACAGAACGCAAAATTTCTAGTAATTTATTAAATTAAACCTGCAATCGTTATAATGGCACAAAAAGTCATAGCGCGTGTCTCTGATTTTAGAGTTAAGTAACTGTGGAAGAAATATTTTCGACATTTGTGTTTTCTTCTTAATTAATATAGCGTGCAGCATAATGAAACCATGAGCGTAGCTCTGAGTAATAAAATAAAAACTGAAAAGAAATAATTAAAACATAATAAAAATGTTCTCATTCAGAAAAATAATTAAAATGTATTTTTAAAGATTTAAATTTCTGAACAGAGAAAGAGAAAGGAAAGAATGGAAATTTTGAAAATGTTCCCTTCAACTAATTGCAAGTCGATGGTCACACGTGAAATGCTGTTACGCTACTCAAAGATTAACGATATATTTCGGTACGAAAAGTGAATGTTATGTGAAATAACAAGATAAAAGAGAATTAACGATGGCGCGCTGCTTTGGGACACAAGATGAGAAGAAAGAACGAGTGGATCGCGTTGAATGATGTATGTATGTGTTTCGTGACTAGGATCATCGTAGATCTCTCCTCTTGCGGCCTGCCACGCCCAACTCGCGACAGAATTTAAAGCTTCTATTTATAAAGAGTGAACGAACGCGATGGCAGCCCCGACACGACGCATCGGGTCAGCATGCACGTATATTCACGCGCACGCACGCACTCACGATACGCACGCAGCTCTCGAGATATTCCATGCTGTATTAATGCAGTACCTACAGAGTACCGATGACGGTCCACTTTATTTCGAAGCGATCCGTCTTCGAATCTCTCGAGAAACGGACGGAAAGAGAAACAAAAGAAAAGTAGCAAAAATCAATATTTTAGAAAACTAAAATCTCTATTCAGAAAAAATAAGGCAATTTTAATAAATTGTACATTAAGTATGTAAATAAATACGTACCAAATACAATATTTTTCAATTGTTATCTGCTTCATTTTTACACATTTTCTTTTTGTAGATCACAAAATGTAAACATTAAAATGTTAGTAGCTTTAATTACTTCTAATGTTATCATTCTTCATAATTTAATAACTTGAAATGTATGTTTCAATGATTTTAATATTGAAAAATTTATACAGATTTGGACATGTTACTTTTATTCTATGTTCAAGTCTAGCAGAAAGAATATCCATTGTTTCACGCACAAAAGTTTTCTTTTCTAATACATTTTTCCTAATCTCGTCGACGCTATTTTCCCTCATTACTAGATGACATTAAAAAGAAACTCTCACTTTCTCTTGTAAATTTAATATATACAGTTGTATCATTTTAATTAATTTTATTCCAAGATTGTCTTTGACTTTTCCTTTTACTACACGGAAAGACCGGTTTTGCTAGAGTCTCTAAAAATTTAACCAGATATAGATCTGTGAAAATAATTAAATTAAAATTATAGGACATTAAAAAGCATAATAAAAATGCTTTAAAAAGTTTTAAAACATTCTAGCAATTCTAGTTTAAACATCCAATACACTAAAAAAAATTTGAATAGTTACTAAATGTTGAGTGAAACAATTTCAATCAAATATTTAGTTAACTAAAATTAATTTTTCTAAATATTTAGTAATTATTACTAAACAATTAATTATACATATATCATTATATTTGACAATATTTACTAAATATTTAGAAAAATAAAGTTATTTTCAGTTACATAAATTAACCGAAAATTGAAATTATTTCGTTCAATATTTAGTAGCTATTACCTATTAATTAAGTGCTAGACTCTTTTTCTAATGAATAATTATTTTTATAATTCTATAATAAAATTATTTTCATATGTGTCTACCTAAATTTTTAAATACTTCAGTAAAATCGTTCCTTTTGTGTAATATTTACACCGACCAAATTGATTTTTAACTCGTAATTTTTTTTACATTAACCAACTTTAATACAATCGATGTAATATACAGCTTTACACGTGTTTTACTAATATTACTCTTATTTCTCACATTTATGGACTTTCGGTTGCTTGCAATAATTTTTAGAAACGTTTTATTTGAAAAAAGATTCGCCATGGTTTGCCTGAAAGTAATTGATAACGAGTTACACCTTGTATTCACGGTTGCCAGGTCTTCAGCACTATATCCGACTGAGGTTCAAAGGCCCGTATGTTGGAAATTTGTTACTTCGACCGAAGGCTGGCTAAATGTTTTCCAAAAAAAATTATATTCCAAAAAAAACGCACAGGATTTTATTCGTACATTACGACTGTTGTTTCACACTTTCTTTTTATTATTGAACTAACATAGTGCGAACGCATCGCAGACATTTTCTTATATTTATTATTTTAACATAAAGTGCAAACATAATCATAGACTTCCTTATTAAAACAAATATTCTTTTACCATATAACTTTCCGCGTAGTTTAATATTGCACAGATCAAAAGATGAAATGATGAAATCAGATGATGAAATTAGTGAATGAAATCCCATCCAAGCAAAAAATCGAAGATTTTTCCCGTCAACCAGAGAACCGGAGATTGATCCCAAAACTGGAGTCGCCAGTCAAAAACTGGAGATCTGTCAACCATGGTATTAAGCTTCTGATGATTCAAAACAAAACCAAAACGTTTAGTATACTATTCATTGTTATTTATAAAGGCAATTAAAACACTTCATTTTCATTAATTTGCGTGTTACTATTAACTGCATTTGACTAATCCTATTTTTATTTTTAATTGTTATTTTATATTCGAGAATTCTTATATTAAAATTTACACTTTGTTCAAAGGAAAATTGCTAGAAAATCAATTTTAAAATTAACTTTACAGGATATGGAATTATTCTGTCGGTGTGGTGCTTTGTTAGCGGTTGCCTGTGTGGAAATTTCCTTTCAAAAGCAGAATTCTAGAAAGAGAGAACGAGAGAGGAGGGTTTGTTATGAAGGAGCCCGGAAGTAGTGCACCAGACTAGTGTGTCTTTCGTTTCAGTGACGTGAATGCATCCCTCATCTCTTCCCCTCTCTTGCTTCTTTTTTTCGGAAACTTTTTCTACATCTTATTTCTAGCAGCGTTCGCTCTGGGACTATTCGCCGCTGTATGTATTTTCGTCTCGTAGGGGATGAAAGAGTGGCGAAAAATAGTAATCCGGCTCCTTCCTTCTCCGTGCGCTTCAAAGACTCTTTTGATCAGAACGACCGATTTTCCGATATTTCTTTATATTGTATGTCTACACCTCCTTTCTTTCTTCTTCACCATTCTTTCCATGGTTATAATAAGGATCATGACTATAATTTTCGTGAATAGTAGACACGTTCGTTTCAATCGTATGACGTAAGGTCTAGCACTGAGCTTTCGTACATTCTTATTTATTTTTCATATAAAGCTCTCCGTCCTCTCGACGGAAAACCGAAGGAGGAAAAATAACAAAATATATATATATATATATATATATATATATCAATTATTGTACACAACGCCCACTCAAGAGTTATCACATGGGTAACGAGATAAGTCACGGTGTAATGACCTAAAAATGAGTAAAAACAGATGAGGCGCGTCTTATTGAACTACTTTCGTCTGAAGTTAATTCACATACACATGAAGATTTTAATAATGACACGTCAAAACCCCCAGAGTACATAATAGCGATTTTTTATAAGCTCATCATATCACCACCATTAAAGACACAATTACTTCATCGTAAGATATACTTACATAGGATAACATACAATTGTCAAGAATACTGCAATTTCTTTTAATTTTTAATAAATAAATGTAATCTTAAACAATTTCACCACCTCTTTTTGACATAGATTTTTCAATAAAAAATTAATCTGTTAAATATAATTATTAATCTTACAATTAAAAATTTTTTTAATTCTTACCACTTATATATTATATATATTATACATATTGAAATTTTCATCAATTATGTTTTCTTTTAAAAGAAAGTAAATAAATTTGAACAATTTGTTACAAAACAGTGGGCTACCTATATTTTATAAAAATAGACTAAATGAACTCTAAAGTAAAAGTGATAGGAAAAATGCCAATATCACATGTTCGGCTACGTTGTGGGGCTAATTCACAACGTAGTCGAACATGTAATATTGGCATTTTTCCCATCACTTTAACTTTAGAATTCATTTAATCCGTTTTTACAAAATGTGTGTCAGTCTACTATATTGCAGCAAGCACTTCAATTGTATTGCATGATTAATAAGTAA